TTGCTGCTTCCAGGAGATGCTGGGGCAGCGCTGGGCCTGTCTGCAGGTGAACATGGGTCAGCGAGCTTCGGGAGTCCTGTGTGAGTGGGGAGCGAGAGTGTGGGAGGCAGAAGGGCTTTGAAGGAGAAGAAACCCCCAGTGCTTTGTCCTCTGACATAGCCCCTCTGGCTCTGATTGCCCTGGGGGGAAACTGAGGCACAGAGTCAAGCTGCAACAGGGCAGGGGCACTGGACCCGGGTGTCCTGCATGGTTGACTGTGGGCAACTGGGGAGGTTTGTTGCGCTCCCCCAGCCTTGTGCGGGGGGCCTGTCTCGGGGCTGCAGGAGGGGCAGGGCTGTGTTTGGGCTGGGTGATTACCCCCGGATAATAGCAGCCTTGTGCAGCCCTGAGAGCCCCTCCGCCCCCGGGCCGGCCCCGGGCCAGGCGTGCTGCCCCGGCCACCGCAACTAATGGCTTTTCCACAGCAGCCCTATTACACCGCTCCGCGGGGGCTCGGGCCACGGCTCGCTGTGCGCCACGGAGCGGGGCCATGCCTCGGGGCCCTGCCTTGGGGACAGGCATGGGGCTTTGCAGAGAGCCTCCCAGCGGGGTTGGGGGCACGGCGCGCAGGGAGGCCGAGGAGGAGCGGGGTTGGGGCGCAACCCCCACAGCCCTCGGTGACCTGCCTGGGATGGCGCCTGCCTCGTGCTGCTCCCCAAGGACCCCACTGTCCCCAGGCGTCTCAGAGACCGGGCAGTGATGAAGAGTGGTTTGGCCCCCCTATTTTTGAGTCCGCAACCCAGAAGCTGTGGCTGGGCTGTGGGGCAGAGCGGGGCTGAGCAGGGGAGGGAGTCAATTCTGCCCCGAAGCAGTGTCAGCCAGATCCACCGCCTGGAAGTGAGACTCTCGGGGACTGTCCCCCTTTCCAGCATTCCCCAAGCCCCTGTGGAAACCGACCCGACCCCTCCGCCGGGTCTGCTTGGTGTTTTTCACCTCCAGCGCCCGGCAGTCTGCCGCGATCAGCCTGCGCAAGCCCGGGCAGGCAGGACCTGGCAGGCTGCAGGTCTGCAAAGCACAGCTGGAACGAGCCCCTCCAGCAGAGCTCGAAATGCCTGAAAACAGCCCGTGCCGAGACGGGGGAGGGGG